TCCAACTCAAAAAAAAAAAAAAAAAGATGTCGGGGGCGGGGGAAGCGTGAGGGAGTCTTGGGAAGCAGCAGCCCTGTTAGGTGGGAGGAGACCCAACAGGAAGGTGTCTTGGGAGCCAGTGAAGGGGGAGTGATTGATTTCTTAGGAGCTGCTGAGACGTCAAGGTGAAGACAGCAGGTGACCTTTGGATGTAGACATTGGAAGGGGTAGAACTGGAGGTGTAGACGACCCTCTTGAGGAGTTTTGCTGAAGGAGGAGCAGGAGGTGGCTGTGGGGTGGGGCTAAAAGGAGGTTTGTATACTGCATGGTCCATTAGAAGGTGGAAGCTTACTGTTGTCACCTGCCATCCCCTCAGCTCAGTGTCAGGCCGCTCTGGTAAGCGGAACCCTGGTTAGGCGGCCCTGCACTTGGGAGGCCCAACCTCCTGTGGGTCTGCATGCATACGTTCTCCAGCTGCCAGTTGACTTGCCACACTCCACTTAAGTGACAGATCCTGGAGGACAAGGACTGTGTTTTATGCCCAAGCCTAGCCAGGTCCTGGATGTGTGCGCACAGGTGAGTAAGTTGGATGGCTGTAGTAATGGGGAGGATGCTCACTTTGTTTCTAGGAAGTGTGCCTGCAGCTGTCCACTGATGTGTGCATACGCTGAGCAGACTGGGGCTGGGAGTGGCGGGAGGGTGCACAGTACACATCCTGGCACTGCCCTTCAAGTTGAGGAGTAAGACTGGCCCATGAGACCTCAGTGCACAGGGGGCTTGTGTGGAGACTGGAGGAAGGGAAGGCCATGCCCAAAGGACAGAAGCTTTTGAGTAGTCTAATTTTTTTTTCTTCTTTTGAGTCAGAGTCTCACTGTTACCCAGGCTGGAGCTCAGTGGCACGATTGCAGCTCACCATAGCCTCGATATCCTGGGCTCAGATGATTGATCCTTCCACTCCAGCTTTCCGAGTACCTGGACTATAGGCACGCACCACCACACCTGACTTATTTATTTATTTATATTTATTTGTTTTAAATTTGGAGTCTCACTCTTACCAGGCTGGAGTACAGTGGCACACTGACAGCCACCACAGCCTCAACCTTTTGGGCTCAGGTGATCCTTCTGCCTCAGCCTTTCAAGTAGCTGGAACTACAGGCATGTACCATGCCCAACTAATTTTTTGATTTATTGTAAAGATGTGGTCTCGCCAAGCTGCCCAGACTGGTCTCAAACCCATGAGCCCAGGCAGTCCTCTCACCTTGGCCTCTCAAAGTCCTGGGATTATAGGTGTGAGCCACTGCACCTGACTATACATTTATTTTTGAGAGTCTCACTCTGTCACTCAGGCTGGAGTACAGTGGTATGCTTATGACCACAACAGCCTTAACCTGCTGAGCTCAGGCAATCCTTCCACTGCAGCCTTCCGAGTAATTGGGACGTGCACACCACCACAACTGGCTAATTTTTTTTTTTTTTTTTT